CCGGGGTCGCGGCGCGCGGCTCGTCGCCGAGGCGGAGAGGGGGCGGCGGCCTGGGGGCGCGAGGAGGGGGCCGCGCGGCTCTCCCCGGGCTCCCTCCTCTCTCGGGAAGGTCTATTTTCGCTCAGCTTCCCTCTGTCTCTGGTTTCATTTCCTTTTTCCTGATCACGATTCAAATACAATAGAAGGAAATCACATTTAAAGAGACAGCTGCCCGGTCCCCCCTCCTCTTTTTTCTTCCTTTTTTTTTTAAACGGGGCTCGCGGGGATTAGCAATACAAACAGCAGTCGCAGTTGGACTGATTTGGCTTCTTAAAGGGGCCAGTGTTGGGGACCGAGAAAGTCGCTCTGCAAGCACCTATCCTTGGAGAGGGGGCCGGCCTGCCACTAAATCTTCCTGCAGGGCCACCCCCTCTGCCGCGGTTTCCCTCTCGGTGAAAGGCTGAAAGTCATCTCCGTACAGCCCAAGCGAGAGGGAAAAAGACTAGCACGGAAAACTAGCACCTACGGAAATGCGGGCGTTCCGCGTGGCTCTCGTGCGCGCGCGTCCCGGGTTCGAGGTCCCAGGTCCAGGGGCGCGGGGCCGTTCGGGACAGCAGGGCTCGACTGGCAGCGGGCTCAGGGTCGCGTCCGCGCTGCAGAGAGGCGGGGATAGCTGTGCAAGCGCGGACCGCACGGGCTGGGCACGCCTGAGCAGCGCCGGGGGCAGCTAATCCCGCGGGGAGGGCGGCGGGGAGGGACCACGCTGGTCCGGGGCTCCTCTCCATCTGCTGGCGGCAGAATTCCCTCCCTCAGCATCTTTCAAAGAGCAGACTCCTGCGGCTCCACCGGCCCCCTGTAAAGTACCAGTGATACCCCGACAGGAGAATGCTTTCCCCACAGAACACTAGTTGGGTGATGATTTTGCAAAGAAAGAAAAGACCTAATTCGGAGGTTTGGGCTTCTCCTCCAAGACCCCGGAAAGTTCTAGGAAAAGAAAGGAAGGCGGGTGGGGCGAAGAGGAGGCTCGTGCCCTTCCGTGGAGGAAAATTTGGATTCCCCTGGGCCTCAGAGGTGGGGTGTCCTCGTTCAGAAATTATGACTCAAGGCCCGCTTGTGCACCGTGCTAGTCACCAGAGGTGTAGAGAATCCTGGCTCGTGCCAAGAGGCATTTAATTCCTATTTTAAATTTGCCCCAGAGGGGCCTGGATGAGCAGGCTGAAAGATGGTAGCTGAAGACAGAAGTGAACCCCAGGACACTTCATTTTTCCTCTTCGGAGCCACATCTTCATTAACATTTCAAAAACAGAACTAGAACTTAGTGTTGTCTGTAGACTCCCGACTCAGGGTCCCAGTGCTTAAGCCCTAATGGGCATAGAGTGTGTGTGTGTGTGTGTGTGTGTGTGTGTGTGTGTGTCCAAGGAAGCCAGAGAGCAGCTTGGACCGAAGATGGACTTTCGTTGTATAAAAAGACATTTGCCTGATCAGACCCTTGCTTTCAGTTAAAAATAAAATTCTAGAATTTGGGGTCAAGCCTAAATTGTATGAGAAATATATAACCTACCACTCTCCAGACATTTCTATTAGAAATGGAAATAAGCACACAGATTGCGATTATGAGTTTATGTACTTAAATCCTGTCAGTGTTATAGATAAGTGCAGAGACTTTGGGACTCCACTTTCTGGGTTTGAGCTCTTCTGTATCATCAGCCCACGGTGTGACCTGGGAACATTCCTAAATCTGAGTAAGTAATAGCTCAGGAGTCTGGCCAACTGTATTCTAACTCCCTCCTTTACCACTTGGAAGCTGATTTAAGAGCAGGACTCTAAACCCAATGTCCTCATCTGTAACACAGGAGTGTCACACTTTGTAGTGCAGCGGGCTCCAAAGATTCAGGGAAATAGGGTGCACTTGTGTGGCATACAGGTTACTGACAGAGTGGAGTAGGTGCAATTGACGTGAAATTCACTGTGTGGAAAGCACCTGGCCTATATTAGAAGTGCTTAAGCAACGGCTGGTATGTCATAGCAAAAGACATCATTGAGATAGCGGTTAAAGTTGGAATCGGGGTTTAAAATAAGAATTTTAATCTGGGGGTGGTGATGCACACCTGTAATTCCAGAACTCAGAAGGCTGAGGCAGGAGGATTACTGTGTGTTTGAGGCCAGCCTGCGCTACATAGTGAATTTTTTGAGGCCAACCTGAACTAACAAGGAGACTCTGTCTCAAAAAAAAAAAAAAAAAAAAAAATCCAGCTGGATATGACAACACACACGGGTAAGTGTGTATGCCTTTTTCATTTAACTTTTTTTTTTTTGGATAGATGCTACCTGTCCTCCACCTGCTTCTATTAAATCCTACTAGCTATTAGCTTCCTAGATTCAGTTTTCTATGGGGCTCAAGTTCGTTACTGAGATAAATCTCTCCTTGGGTTTCAAGAGGTAACCTCAGAACACCCAACTCTTGTACATAAAGTTTCCTTTTAATACTCCATTTCTGCTTTGATCTGAGTGTGTAAAGAAAAAGACATGGCCGCCTACGACTTTGGGTCAGTCTCTTATCCTCATAACTCTTTGGGGAGAACTTCCTTCAAGACAGTGCATATTTGAAATGGTATCTTAAGATTTCAATTTCACACACAGTGGTTGTAAGAAATAACTTCCTACTGGTGGGTTTCATTTCTATTCAACGGGCAATTAAATCGCTCAAATTTAAGTTTAACATTTAGAATCAAATCTCAAAATGTGTTTTTATTAAGTATAATTTTAAGCCCCTCATGACCTTATTGTACCCTCCCACAGCAGCCAATACCTATCGTATGCGGAAGAGAGATTCAGTCACTGTGAAGCGATTTGAACATGTAAAATGGTTCTTGAGAGGTGAAGAAATCTTGATCCCTGCCCAGTGGGACCAAAATCCAATTCCTTCTCTTCTCCCTGTACTCCTTGCAATTTAGAAAATTTCCAAGTTTTTCTTCTTGAATAAGAATGTCATAAGAAGACTGAATCAGTCTGCATGATGAATCTGACCCAGGGTGGATTATTTTTCCAGTGGGTATTTCCTATTATTTTTCACTTATTACATTTACAGTAGTTTTCAAGGGAAGGAGAGTTTCAAGTGACTCAAATTACATTTCTTTGCTAACGTGGATTTCTGATAAAAAAAATGAAAATGCAAATGTCACTGGGAAAATGCCAACAATGACAATTTACCTTTTCCTCCTGCCCAACATTAGAAGCCAAGTTGAAACATAGGCCTTGTTAGTTGTAACATTTGCAAAAATAAAGACCTCTTTTCATATAGCTTCAGCTCCCATACAAAATTCTTTAAGCCATTCAATCCTCCTAAGCATCCAGCTCCCAGACTCATTCAAAACCTTTCAGGGTCAGTTGATAGATGAGTTTTCACAGAATGTTACTTCTATTAGTAACCTTAGTGATAAATAAATCAGGTTTCCTATACAGTAGGAAAGATCTTAAGGTAAATTTCTCTCTCTCTCTCTCTCTCTCTCTCTCTCTCTCTCTCTCTCCATTTTTTTAAGCCAACTGGGGCTGAGGAGAATAAGCACAGGCATCAGGCTGACACAGCTCAGCTATGTACCAGCTGTGTGACCTTATTCGCCTCTCTGAACTTCAGTTTCTGTATCTGTCACTGCACTGGAGATACTGTGACAGTGTAACACAGCAGGGCATGAGGAGGATAAAACAACTGGGATGGACGCCTGCTCATCTTGTAGGAATTTTCAGTATGTATTTAGGTGTTCATTATTGATGTTTATATTTTTAAATCTAATTTTTTAACATTTTGATATTAGATAACTTTCATAAAGTGGTTTTAGAAGCTTCTTCATTTTTGAAATATATATATATATATATATATATTTGTATTTTAGGGAAGGGTCAGTCTGCAGGGTGTTCAGGGTCTCACTACTAGGTCAGACTCATAGTAATCTGCCTGTTTACAGCCTCCCAAGAGCTGGGATTACAGGCGTGCGCACTACGCCCAGTCTTGTAGGAATTTTCAGAGGCATAAATAGGATATGTGTAAGATGATTTTCACTGTGAGGCTGTACAGAGGATGTTTAGCAATGATAGCTGTTACTGTTACTCCTCATTTAGAAGTAGTCACCCCCATATCAGGAAGCAACAGTCTCCCAGCTGATCAGCATACCTGCCAAAGGATGCTAAGCCGTGGGTGCGGTAGAGCAGCTGGACTCTGCCTCAGCAGGCCTTAGGACCAGGGAACTTCCTCTTTCAGCCAGGAACACAGGGCTGTGCCTGGTGGGGCCCCTGGTAGGCTGTTGACCATGTCTGCACTTCGCTGCTGCTCTGTGAGCCTCAGCCTCATCCCTGATTTTATCCACTGGATTTTTTTCCTTCCTGCTGGCTTAGTGGATTAAAGTGCCTGCAAGCAGGTGCAGGGGCCAGGGGTTTGATCCTGGGCCTGTTGTGCCGGCCCCGCTTCCAAGAGCGCTGAGATGGTGATTGAGATGGGGTGTGGTGGCGCATCCCTGTAATCCTAGCTCTTGGGAAGTTATAAACAGGAGAATCACTATGAGTCCGGTCTAGTAGTGAGACTCTGAACACCCTGTAGATCCTTCCCCAAAATACAGAAAAAATAGATAAGAAGCAACTCCAGGTGCTGAAGAACGTGCTCCTGTAAGCCACAGTTCAGGGCGCAGCAGGGTCACATTCCTAGCACGGCCTAGCAGAAGGGACCTGTGAAGTGTGGTTTCCTAGCTCCCTCCTTGGAGGCCTCTCCCGTGGGCTGTGTTCACCCCTGCTTCATCCATTGCAGCTTGGCCTTCATTGGCCTGGGGACCTTGTCCCACCTCCGCACTTCAGCTCCCACGTCTGCAAGGGGGAAATGTTCAGGGTTCCTGAGTATCTGTAGGATTCTGTAAAATGAAATGGGCATGGAGAAGAAGGTGGCGCGTAGTAGCTTTTATGGAAACTAGAGGCTTCTGTAGCTGCCTCCTATGGAATAACTCAAAGGGTCCAGCTTTAAGGTATCTGAACACCCACTTGTGAGGCAAACACCTTGATGGACCAGGTAGATGAGACACACAGAGGCCGCTCCTCCTTAGTCCACCACTGCCACCGTCAAACCCTCCCCAACCCTCTCTCCTCAGACCTGGATCCTCAGCTGCTTTGCTGTTGCTCAAGGAGAAAGTGGGAGCTGGGGGCGCTGACTCCTGGGGCTGTTCTTGTGCCCTGGCTCTTCGATCTCTGCCGCCTGTCACTGCCCCACCTGAGCAACACTCACAGTCCCTGTCTGCCTCCTCTGTCACTGCCCCAACCAAGCAACACTTGCAATCCCTGGGACCCTGGAAAAGCACATTTAAAATCGAAACTCCTTACAGTGGCCAGGAGGACCTTGCTGTGTGGCCTCTCCTATCTCTCCAACCTCTTCTACTGGACATTGCACCTTCTCGGCTCAGGTCATACTTGGCTTCTTTCTGTTCCTTAAGCAAGCTAAGCCAGCTCCTTCTGGGCTACTTTTGCTCTTGCTGTTTCCTCTGGCTGAAAGCCTCTTTCTCTCGGTCACCTGGCAGCTCCTTGTCCTTCATGCAGGTATCTGCTCACATGTTTTATCCACAGAAGAGCTTTCTGAAATCTCACCTTTCAATCCTCTCAGGCCCCCTGGTTTCTTTTTGCTTCCTAGTACCAACTCCACTTCCTCTTTACTACATATGCATTTGTAGATGTTTTCATTGTTGTGTTTCATTTTGGCCTTTCTTCTTGGCAGGAATGTAAATTCTGTGGAGTTAGAAACTCCGACTTGCTGGGCATGTTGGTGCATGCCTGTAATCCCAGCACTTGGAAGGAGGCTGAGACAGGAGGATCATCGAGAGTTCAAGACCAGCCTGGGCTACATAAACAAGTTCAAAGTTTGCACTGCATAGTGAGACTCTATCCAAAAAAAATCAAAAAGAAAAAGGAAGAGGAAGAGGAAAATGAAGAAGAAGAGGAGAAGGAGGAGGAGGAGAGGAGAAGCAAGAGGAAAAGAAGAAAGAAAGAAAGAAAGAAAGAAAGAAAGAAAGAAAGAAAGAAGAAAGAAAGAAAGAAGAAAGAAAGAAAGAAAGAAAGAAAGAAAGAAAGAAAGAA